CTGTGTACAGCCATGTGTGTGTGTGTGTTTATAAAGTAGTCCATGATGACCTGGATCACTGTTATTAATGATTTCATCCAAATTAACTATGTGACTAAATCTGTCAACGCATCCATTAAATACAATACAGCTTCAGTTTATAGTCGTTTGCACAATTTCCAAGTCCTGCTACTGATGATGTGATACAAATGTGCTAAAAGAATAACTATTTATTTTAAACAATATTAAAGAACAACTTGACAACATTCATCATTTTAATGCAGTGATGACTGTATGCTTTTTCATGTAAAGGCTAGGATATTATAACTTTTTTCTCGTAGTATGACTTTAATCTTGTAATATTACGATTTTATTCTCATAATATTATGACTTTTATACGACTTTAATGTTGTAATATGACTTTATTCTCATAACTTGTAGTTGCATTTTCTTTTATTTAACATCTTATTGCAGCATGAATTTCATCAGCTAAGTTGCTGAACATACTTTTAAAAACAAATCCTTTGGACCGTGGTAATATTCAAACTGTGTCGACTCATTAAAAAAAATGAAATCTCCACCGTCTTCATTTCTCTGTTTATTTTGCTGCCGGCACATTGAATCCTGGGATGCTCGGCTGGTAAGGATACACGAACGCATCCTCAGATTTCAACAGGAAGTAGGCCACATTCCTCTGCCATTGATGAGGAGCCTTTGAACTGGGACAGTTCTCCATGCGGGGCAATGATGTATGCAGCCGAAAAATGCCACTCATGAGGACCCAGCCCCTGAATTGAGACACAGCCTAAGTCCTCTGTCCAGCTACCTCCATGTCCTCTCTAACTGCATCCATGTCCAAACCAATATTCCCACTGTCCCTCCTCTGGACGATGAAGATGGACGGGCCATACACAAACTGGAAATCCGTTTTCGTTCACAAGCCCAGAGTTGGTGCATCTCCAGTTTCCAGGATAGATGAGAACTGGACATATGTAGCTGGTCACATCAGTTGTGGAAATGTAGCAACAAATAAATCTGTATCTGTATACGGTGTTGTATAAAATACCACAAAGTGATACTTTGGTAAAAGTTAAAGTCTCCTGGAATATTACTTGAGTAAAAGTCTTCAAGTATCTGATTTATTTTGTACTTAAGTATTAAAAGTAAAAGTATTGATTAAAAATGAGCAGTTAGAGTTTCTGTAAGGACATTTATATAAATGCTGCCACATGCATCTTCATACTAGGCTACATGTTGTCTGCTATGTCCTGCTGGAGTGTGTCATGATTTGTTTGTGTACAAACTAATACGCTGTCAGAGTTTTATATATTTATACTTCTCATTCAACCACAGTTAAATTCACTCTATCTAGGAGGCACAGTTTATATGGATAGTATTTATTTTTTTACCAGCTTGAATGAAAACAAGCAAAAATTAAATAAAAGTAACAACTTTCTACTTCTTGTCTTTTTTTTAAAATGTAAGAAGTAGAAGTAAAAAGTAGGCTGAAAAATAATTACTCAAGTACAGATACCCAAAAATTCTACTTAAATACCATAACAAAGTATTTGTACTTAGTTCCTGTACAGCTCTGTCTGTATATTTAGTTATTCTCTGCATGTGGGCACATGTGTGGTTGAAGCTGGGTTAAGATCAGTGTTTCAGTCATCAGAGCATCACAGCCTTCATCACTGGATGACATCATCATCTCCAGACTGTGATGTCACCACTAACAACAGTTGTGCAGCTGTGAAAATGGTCAAACAACGGTTTACATGATGTAACCTGTGCAGTGATTAGTGACCCCCTGGTTCAGTCCCCCAGCCTGCTCCAGAGCTCAGTCCACGCAGGGGAGATTAAAAGAGGGGGATGCGGGAGTGAAGCATCGATCAATAACTTGCTCTGCTCTTGCTGCAGGCTTACGTTACCTCTTGGTGGGGGTAAATATGGTGGAAGCATTCGCAGGCTGGTCATACCCATGTTGACCCAGATGTTGGACTGAGGGGAGCGCGTGGCCGGTTGTTGGCGGAGGAACAGGAGGTAGCGGGGGAAGAGTTCCAGCTCAGCTCGGTTGGTCCTGCTGTCCAGGATTACCTGTAAGAGTGGAGAAGAAAACAATAGAAACTGATCAAAGGGTGGAGACGAGATGTAGGAAAGTGTCTGTCTTTGGTTTCATTCACCAAAATGTAAACACTGAGGGTGGCCTGTCGCTCTCTTTAGAGATGAGCTCATTGTTTTAACCCCTCATTAAATAATTCATGAAATCTGACCATCAGACTACAAACAGACTCAAACCTCTCAAAGAGGTGGGTTCTCAGGGGGCTACGGCTCACTGGTGAACTGAGGAGAGTCTGTCCTGTGACACTCAGTCCTGCTGCAGGAGATGTAAACGTTTAAAACACATGTGCATGCCCGACCTGCCTGCAGAGCTCTGCAGACATTCATCTSTATTATGGTGCGTTCACACCGAACGYGATTTCAGCTTCAAAATCGCAGCCAACGCTGAAGTTTGAAGCGCTGCACGGCGACAGCCTCCCCGCCCCTCCCTCCTCTGTCGGGCTCTGTTTAATGTCGGACGAGGAAGTG